AATGCACAGACACCGGTGACCGTTTAGGAAAGTGTTTATGAGCAGCCAACTTCAGCAGCACAGGCACACCGTTGTCAGTAACGCTCTGGGGATTGATGATTGTCTAGGTTAAACAGCTTCTAATATAGACAATCGGCAATTAATAAAATGCATAATATAAAAAGTTTTAGTTCTTAAACGTAGTAAGCAAGGGTAGAATTTGCTTTTTAACTGAAAACTCCACTCTAAGGTTTATTTCTACCTTCATCATTAAGAGGTTAAGTGTATGAACAGTGTATTTGTGTATATTTTATTTATTTCTACTTCATCATAGTCATTTTATACAGATATTTAAAATTTTTTATAAGTAGGAAAATTTGAAATCGTATTCTGTAGCACTCTTTACACACACACACACACACACACACACACACACACACACACACACACGGAGGGACTTATCCCTTGTCTAACTGCAACAAAAATGCTGGCTAACTGGCAGCCTGCATGTCACAACCTATACGCACATTAACCAGTACTGTAAGTGCAAACATATATTAACACACATAATTCCCTTGAATATCACGCTATACAAGACATTAAAGACACAAAATGTTTTCCAAAGAAAAGGCACAAGGCTGTTTATACACCTCAATGAACCAGACTATACTTCGTACAGTGGATATAAAAAACGTCTTTACACCCCTGTTAAAGTGTAAGGTTTTCCACCTTTAATCTAACCTATAAACTGTACAGCTCCATTGAACAACAAACTGAAATCTTTGTTTAGGTGGACGGAAGTAAAAATATGCAACCTCACAAGAACCGGGCTTTTTTCCGTGTGGCCACATATTTGCGTACAACTCTTTGTGCACAAAGACCGGGGTGTCACTGAGAGCCCCGGGTCCCGTTCTAATGAACGGGAACCAGGACTCCAGATTCCGGGTCACATGAACTACGATTGGCTATCACAGTGATCAGTCACTGTACATCCCGCTCCCCTTTTTTTTCCCCTCTATGAATGGAGGAGAGAGATGTATTGTATATCTCTCTCCCCTTGCATAGAGGGAAAAAAGATAAAAAAGAAAAAAAAGAAAAAAATACCTGGATCAAGGTTTGATCTAGTTCAGTGCCAGGGTTTGTGTTTGGGTCAAGGTTTACAAAAAAAATTGGTGTCAGTGCGTTTTAGGTTTTAAAAAAAAAAAAAAAAAAAAAAAGCACTATTGAGTCTGGGCTGTACTGTGGGTACAAACAACAAATAACATCCACATTTATAGTATCGCTGCAATCGTCAAGAATTGAAAAATTTATTTTGGGTTGTTCTTTGGTGGTAGGTTATTGTAGTAACAAGCAACACACAGCTAAATTAAAACAAAAAAAATATATATTTTTATTTATTTTTTTTTATTATTTTGGCCAGTTTTCCTTTGATAATAAAAAAAAATAAATAAAAAATAATATCAGGAGATATCCATCACCATTTACTACCAAATGAAAGCCCAATTTGTCCTGAAAAAAACAAGGTATAATCCACTTTGAAGTACAAAATAGTTGTGATGATATGTATGGTTTTACTAACACATGTCAAAGTTGCAAGATTGTGCTTAGGCATTTATTATACAGGATTTATATAGCGCCAACAGTTTGCGCAGCGCTTTACAATATAAAGGGAGAAAGTACAATTACAATACATTTCTCAGTACAGAAGGAACGTGAGGGCCCTGCTCATAGAGCTTACAATCTAAAGGAAGGGGGAGATGATACAAAAGGTGATAGCTGCGGGGGATGATCTGGTGGAGGTGATTTAAGTACAGTTCTTAGGTGGAGGTGGGGTAGGCTTCCCTGAAGAAGTGAGTTTTCAAAGATTGCCTAAAGGTAGACAGGGTGGGAACTGACCGGACATGCTGTGGTAGGGAGTTCCAGAGGATGGGAGAGGCTCTGGAGAAGTCCTGGAGGCGAGCGTGGGAGGAGGTGATGAGGGAGCTAGAGAGGAAGATATCTTGGGAGGAGCGGAGTGGGTGATTTGGCCGATATCTGTGGATGAGGTTGGTGAAGTAGCTAGGGGCAGTGTTGTGGATGGCTTTGTAAGCTATGGTTAGTATTTTGAATTTTATACGTTGGGTTAGTGGAAGCCAGTGGAGGGATTGGCAGAGAGGGGCAGCAGTCGCTGATCGGTTGGTAAGGTGTATGAGTCTAGCAGCAGCATTCATAATAGACGGAAAGGGGGATAGCCAGTGTAAAGGTAGACCAGTGAGGAGGGAGTTGCAGTAATCGAGGGGATATAACCAAGGCGTGGATGAGTTTGTTTTGTAGTGTCATTGGTCAGGAAGGGGCGGATTTTGGAAATGTTCTGGAGGTTGAGGCGGCAGGATTTAGCCAGTGAGTGGATGTGGGGCCCAAAGGAGAGGTCAGAGTCTAGGATTACACCTAGCACCCTGGCATGAGGGGAAGGACAAATGGTTGTGCTGTTGATCTTAATGGTAAAGTCGTGAGTGGGGGATCGGGGAGGAGGAAATATTACAATCTCAGTTTTTGAAAGATTGAGTTTGAGGTAGTGAAGTGAGATCCATGCTGATATGTCGCTTAGTAGATTTGCGATACGTGAGGAGATTGAGGGGGTGAGCTGGGGAGTGGAGAAATAGATCTGGGTGTTATCAGTTGGCCCCGGGAGGAAGTATAGAGAGAGAAAAGGAGGGGCCCAAGAACAGAACCTTGGGGTACCCCAAAAGAAAGGGGAAGAGGAGCGGAGGAGGAGTTGTATGTGACACTGAAAGTGTGCTGAGAAAGGTAAGAGGAGAATCAGGAGAGAGCAGAGTCACGGAGGCCGATGGAGTGGAGTTTACTGAGGAGGAGCGGGTGGTCGACTGTGTCAAAGGCAGCAGAAAGGTCAAGGAGTATGAGTATGGAGTAATGGCCCTTGGTTTTAGCAGTTAGTAGGTCATTAGTGAGTTTTAGTAGGGCAGTTTCTGTGGAATGTTGTGGGCGGAAGCCAGACTGTCGGGGATCAAGAAGGTTGTTGTTGGTGAAGTAGCAGTTCATACGGTTGTGAACAAGGCGCTCAAGAAGCTTGGAGGCAAACAGGAGCAGGGAGATGGGTCTTAAGTTGTTCAAACAGGTGGCGTCCAGCGAGGGTTTTTTGAGAATGGGGGTAACCAGTGCATGTTTGTGTGGGTAGGGAAAGGTGCCCATGGAGAGCGAGAGGTTGAAGATGTGGGTTAGAGGAGTTTAGGATAGAGCAGGAAGGAGGCTGCAACAGTCGTGAGGGGACAGGATCTAGGGGACAGGTGGTGAAGTGGGCCTTGAAAAGGAGATCGGTAACTTCCTTGGTGGTAACAGGGTCGAAGGAGGAGAGTGTTGAGTTTGGCGTTGGGCCTGGTATGTTGGTTAAAGAAGGAAGGCGTAAGGTTTTGTGTACCCTTAGGCGTGAAGAGGTTAAACAAATATTTTGTTGAAGCACCTTTTGCTTTTATTACAGCACTCAGTCTTTTTGGGTATGAGTCTATCAACATAGCACATCTTGACTTGGCGATATTTGCCCACTTTTCCTTGCAAAAACATTCCAAATCTGTCAGATTGCGAGGGCATCTCCTGTGCACAGCCCTCTTCAAATCAACTCACAGATTTTCAATCAGATTCAGATCTGGGCTCTGGCTGGGCCATTCCAAAACTTTAATCTTCTTCTGGTGAAGCCATTCCTTTGTTGTATGCATTGGGTCGTTGTCATTTTGAAAGATGAAGTTCTCTTCATGTTGAGCTTTCTAGCAGAAGCCTGAAAGGTTGTGTGCCAATATTGACTTGTATTTGGAACTGTTCATAATTCCCTCTACCTTAACTAAGGCCCCAGTTCCAGCTGAAAAAAAAACATCCCCAAAGCATGATGCTGCCACCACCATGCTTCACTGTGGGTATGGTGTTCTTTTGGTAATGTGCAGTTTTGTTTTTACGCTAAACATATCTTTTGGAATTATGGCCAAAAAGTTCAACCTTTTGTTTCTTCAGACCAGAAAACATTTTCCCACATGCTTTTGGGAGACTTCAGATGTGTTTTTGCAAAATTTAGCTGGGCTTTGATGTTTTTCTTCATAAGAAAAGGCTCGTCTTGCCACTCTACCCCATAGCCCAGACATATGAAGAATACAGGAGATTGTGGTCACATGTACCACACAGCCAGATATTCCTGCACCTACTGTAATGTTGCTGTAGGCCTCTTGGTAGCCTCCCAGACCAGTTTTTCTTCTCATCTTTTCATTAATTTTGAAGGGACGTCCAGTTCTTGGTAATGTCACTGTTGCGCCACATTTTCTCCACTTGATGACTGTCTTCACTGTGTACCATGGTATATCTAATGCCTTTGAAATTCTTTTGTGCCCGCCTGACAACTTTTAACAATGAGATACCTCGGATGGTTTGGAAGCTCTCTGCGGACCATGGCTTTTGCTGTAGGATGCGACTAAGAAAATGTCAGGAAAGACCTACTATAACAGCTGAACTTTAGTTTAGGGTTAATCAGAGGCACTTTAAATGATGGCAGGTGTGTACTGACTGCTATTTAACATGCTTTTGAATGTGGTTGCTTAATTCTGAACACAGCTACATCCCCAGTTATAAGAAGGTGTGCACACTTCTGCAACAACATTATTTTTAGTTTTTTTTATATGTTTACTTACTCCCCCCCCTAAAAGATTTCAGTTTGTTTTTCAATAAAGTTGTACAGTTTATAGGTCATATTAAAAGGTGGCAAAAGTTCTGAAATTATTTATCTTGTCTCATTTTTTTTTACATCACAGAAACCTGACATTTTAACAGGGGTGTGTAGACCTTTTATATCCACTGTATGTGAAATCATAGCAAAAGGAGGCACTCTGTACAATATACAAACCCCTGCTGCTGGTAAAAAACTTAAACAGATACTAGTAGATATTTTATGTACAAGTGTTCATAGTAGGCATGTCTGTGGATTCATGGACTAGCAATACATTAGTAATATCAGAATTTTGTTAACATAGTGTGAAGCCAATTACCCAAGACGTTTTGGAGGATGACTTCGTGGTGGAACTGGCTACATTTCCCAGCATCTTCTTGTACATGGCAGTTTCTACATTCTTCTGGTCAGCATGCTTCTTGACAAGCTTGGAGAGCTCAGCATGGATTGTCTAAGACATAGAAAACATCAGCCTTCAATTAATAAATCAATGTTTGATATTTAACTTAAAATTTTCAGCTAAGAAAAAAAAAAAAAAAAAAAAAAAAAAAAAAAAAAACAAACATTCCTGCCAGGTCAAATTATACATTGCAAAGATTTCAAAGTACTTAAACTTCAAAATCTTACCTGCTTCTAACTTTGTGGATACTGAGACAGGGCATTTCACCAACTTCCTTAAACTGAATTAATGTAGATGTACAGCCTCACTTTAATAGAAAAAAACATATGCTGCAGCACTTAATTATATGTGTATTTGCACTTACAGTTTGTTCTTCTTTCCTCTAGAAATCACTACAATACCTGTTAAGTAGGACAAGGAGGTCTACCTAATGCAGCTTCCTGTGATGGTGTGACAATAGTTTTGATTTCAGAGCTGCCACTCTCATAAGGCTGTGGCTGCTTGCACTACAATGGGGTAAAACATGTTAAAGGGATCATGGCTAGCACCAAACGTTTGCTTCACAGGACTGTAGTTTGTCAATCAGCACTTGGCCAATCCATGCCTCACCTACTGCTTTCTGGAGTGACATCACTACCTCTGTTGCTGAAACTCTCCCACTGTGAGCTGCAATGTCTGAGGAGGGGGCATGTGAGATATACATGCTCAGTCCACATAATGTAGGGAGAGAAAAACTGCTGAAACAGCAGTGAGCCAGCCACATATGAAAATGCAACATTTGAAACTGTTTTTGTACTCAGTGTACAGACCTTGAACACAAAGATTGTACAAAACATCTTCCAATGTTGTCATGGTTGCAAAGGAATGTTTTGGATCCTCTAGAAAAATCACAGCTGGCTGGAAATAGGAATGCATGACTAATTAATAATTACACAGGAAATGCATTCTATTAAAAATGTCTTGCGTAATATAGTTAGTGGCACCCTTTGGAATATTGTTGAAATCTTCAAAATATTTTAACATTAGATCTTTACTCAAACAGTGCCTACAGATAAAGGCAATATACACGGCTCAAAAAATTTAAAGGAACACTTTGAAAAACAAATCAGATCTCACTGGGGAAAAATATCATGCTGGATATCTATACGGATATGGACTGGGTAATGTGTTAGGAACATAAAGATGCCCAGTCGTTTGATGGAAATGAAAATGATCAACCTACAGAGGACTGAATTCAAAGGCACCTTGAAAATCAAAGTGAAAAAATTATGCAGCAGGCTAGTCCATTTTGCTGAAATTTCCCTGCAGCAATTCAAAATGGTACTACATAGTCTTTATGGCCCCCACATGCTTGTTTGCAAGCCTGACACAGTCGAGGCATGCTCCTAATGAGATGACGGATGGTGTCCTGGGGTTTTTCCTCCCAGATGCGTTTGATTGGATTTAGGTCAGGCGAGCATGGGGGCCATTCAATGGCATCAATTCTTTTATCCTCCAGGAACTGCCTACATACTGTCGCCACATGAGGCCAGGCATTGTCATGCATCAGGAGCAACCTAGGACCCACTCCAACAGTGTACGGGCCGACATTGGGTCCAAGGATTTCATCCGATACCTAATGGTAGTCAGGGTGCCATTGTCTAGCTTGCAAAAGGTCTGTGTGTCCCTCAATGGATATGCCTCCCCAGACTATAACTGACCCACCACCAAAACGGTCATGCTGAACGATGTTGCAGGCAGCATAACATTCTCCACGGCTTCTCCAGACCCTTTGACGTCTGTCACATGTGCTCAGGGTGAACCTGTTCTCTTCTGTGAAAATTACAGGGCTCCAGAGGTGGACCTGCCAATTCAATAGAAAATGCCAATCAAGCTCTATGGTGCCGGGCAGTGAGCACAGGGCCCACTAGAGGACGTCAAGCCCTCAGGCCGCCTTCATGAAGTCTGTTTCTGATTGTTTGGTCAGAGACATACACACCAGTGGCTTGCTGGAGGTCATTTTGTAGGGCTCTGGCAGTGCTCATCCTGTTCCTCCGTGCACAAAAGAGCAGATACCTCTACTGATGGGTCAAGGACCTTCTACGGCCCTGTCCAGCTCTCCTAGAGTAACTGCCTGTCTCCTGGAATCTCCTCCATGCTCTTGAGACTGTGCTGGGAAACAGCAAACCTTCTGCCAATGGCATGTATTGATGTGCCATCCTGGAGGAGTTGGACTGCCTGTGCAACCTCTGGAGGGTCCAGGTATGCTACCAGTAGTGACACTGACCCTAGCCAAATGCAAAACTAATGAAAAACAGAAAATATGTGAAAAAAAACCTTCAGCCTTTTAAAAAAAGTCTAGAAAAGGTTTTAAAAAGATTACTAAACTAATTGAAGTCAATCATTCCACAGTAAGGAATCTACAAGTGATGTTGATTATCAATGACTACATATTTGTCCAGGACTGGACAACCCAGCAAATTCAACCCAAGAGCTTAACATCTGATGCTGAAAGAAGACTCCAAGAACCCCAAAATGTCACTGCAGGATCATCAAGTAACTTTTACAACAGGTGGTGTCAAAGTGCATACATCTGCAATCAAAACGATTCTTCCAAATGTTCTGGAACAACCTGGTGTTGACTGATGAATCAAGGACAGAGATGTATGGCCAAAGTAAGAGCAATATGGCAGAAACCGAAGACTGAAGCATGGTGGTGGAAAGTTATTATACTGGGTTGCGTAGCAGCTTCAGGACCTGGGCATCTTGCAGTTAAAGGAGTCAACTTTGAAATCTGACTCATATCAAAGAGTGCTTGATGAGAATGTGAGGACATCAGTTTGAAAGTTGAAGTTGAACTAGAAACTGATCCTTAGATATGATAATGATCACAAGCACACTAGCAAATCCAAGAAAGAACACAAAAAAGCAGAAATGTAGGGCTATGAACTGGTCTAATCAAAGTTCTGATTTGAATCCCATTGAAATGTTGTGCAGGAGAGTCGAAAGGAGCAGTTCATGCAAGGAAACACATATTGTAACTGTTTGAATGAATGAAGAGCTTGTTTGTTGAAAGTGCCAAACAATTTCCATAAGGAATAGTTACTTTTTCATGTGATTATATTTATTTAACACCAATATGACTCTGGCAGGTTGCTTGGGTCAAGCTGTAAAATTAAGTTTGGGAACTGTAGACTAAGGTTCTATAACAATATATATCCTATTCATGAATGTTGCGTGACTCTTTTTGTCTTAAGCCGTTCCCCTTTATTCCCTGTGTTACATAAAAAGGATTCTATACTTGCAGAAAAAGAAAAAAATATAATTAGCATAAAACACCTGTCTTATTAGATGCACTATATAAGAGTGTATATTTCATTCTCTTTCAAAAATTGTATCAAAACCTTCAAGTGACTATAGCAAGACAAAAAAAAAAAAAAAAAAGTTATACATAACCTTTAAACGCTAGTAAAGTCTACTTTTTGGGTTATACCTACAGGTAAGCCTATAATAAGGTTTACCTGTAGGTACAGTAAACATCTTCTAAACATGCACCGCTGAGGAGATAATTACTTCAGTAGCAGCTGGTGACATCACCAGCACTTGTGTACTGTGCTCTCAATGGAGGGTGCGGTCCATTCACAGCTTTGTGCTGTGACTGTGAATCCTATGCGCAGGCGCTCATACAGGAGGGAAGTGGTCATGGCTTGGCAGCCGGCTGGCAAACCTGGACGGAAGATTGGGTGAAGATAGAAGCCCCGACAGCGGTGACAGTGTGCCGCTGGAGAACTTCATTTAAGGCAAGCCTTTCATAATGTGGTAGTATGCGGTTACCCTACATGGGCCCAATTTTTTTTTCCATTTTGGTGGTTTACTAATGCTTTAAATAAACCTAGAGAAAGAAAAACCTGTCATTTATTATGTCAAATGTTTTTTCTGTCCACATTTAAAACAAACGAAGGTTCACATCAAACAGATTCCCATGCAGGGGTTTCCACCAACAAATAGTAATCAGCCTTGTGGCTTTCTTTGCAGCTCTACTGTTCAGGCCTCATGCCTTGGTTCTCCAGAGCATCTAACACAGTCCCAGTGCTTGTGCACAAAACGCTGTACATTTGTCAGTTTGACTTTGTCTTACTGCAGTTCCCTGCTGCTCTTTCCTTCACAGGCTCCTGTCTTTGACTACCCTGTCCTGGACAGCATGATGCAGACATGCACCTCTCTGCTCCCTTACAATTGCAGACTGCCTCAGGAGAGTGTAACCCTGAACTCTAATATAAAGCAAAACATACACCTGCACCATTAGTGTGCTTGTTTTCCACAAATCATGGCCTAGAATGCCATTTTGCACAGTGGCATGGCCTTGCACAGCCACAATATAGGCAATACATGTGTTTGTTTAAATATTTAAATATGCTATTAATGATTAATTGATTAAAGTCAGTATTTTTATTGCTGGCCAACATTATTAGATCATGGCTGTAGCATGGACAATATAAAGAAAAAGGTTTGGTTTTTTTTTGGTTATTACAGTTGATGGTCTTCACAATTGCAGTTCAATATTTATAGATTTATGTATATGTAAGTGAGTCTTAAAAAGGAGAAAAAGGGCCAAAGCATTTTTGGCCATACTTCTCCAGTGTGCACACTTATTTCTGCACTCATGTGACTCAGATTCAGCCAACAGCAGGCTAAAGTCCACTGTTGGCTGACATCATTCAGCTGGTCCAGGCTCTGGAGGGATCCTGACTTTAATGTCTGGATCCACCCGGATGCTTGGGCAGCTAGTTCAGTCTCTCCGTGCCCCCTGCCGAGAACCTGAGCCAGCCTCTCCCGCTCCCTTCTAAGCTCAGCACTCCATTGAGTGATGGAGGGGCAGAGCAGAGAGCCAGCGATTGCCAGTCATCACTTTCTGCTAACTGAAGACAGAGAACTGAGTGATCCGCGGTCTTTAATCACTCAGTTCTTGGTCTCAAAGGTGGTGGGGGACTGATGCTGTATTCATCTAGGTGAATATGTATGTTTGTTATTTTGAAACCCACACTTCTCTTTGAAGCTATACAATCTGCAGATTCATAAACGTTAGCCCTCCCATAAGTGTAGAATGGAGTGTTCTTAAATAAATCTTTTTATTTCAAGAAAGTCCTAAAACCATATGCCAGCAATCTTACTAAAATTTATGATTAGGTAACAATGCAACAGCATTTTAATTTCCATTGCCAGTTTTGGACATTGTTCATGACAGACACAATAACATTATAACCTAAACAAATACTTTACAGATTTACACCTTGTTTGAAGGTTCCAGTTTCAGTGCTTTCCTTAAGATGGCTATAGCTTCACTGTACTCTCCTTGCTGGGCTAATACCTGTAGAGAAACATGAAAACTGATAACCAATCTGATGTTCCTAAAAACATGACCACATTAAATATAATATAAAACAAACGCACATGGGAAAAGCTGAGAATTAATCACATTTTCTACCAAGAACTTGTCAGTCATGTCTACCAGCCAAAGCACTCAAAATCCAACTTTGCAGTGGGAAGTAGTGGGTGTATTCTGACAGGGTCATTATTGCGAAATGAGAACTTTTAACACACTTTTAAACACACTTAATCTGCCAAGAATTCTAAATCACCTGAAACAGGTTCCATAAGCACAAGCACTTATTCCAGTGCTAGCCCTCACACAAACAAGACCAGCCTTACTCAAGGGAGCTTTACCCATCTGCTTGAATGAGAAATGCCTTTTAACCATTTGCCTACCGGCACTTTTACACCATTCCTGACCAGGCACCTTTTCACACTTTGAATGACAAATGCACGGTCATACAACACTGTAACGCGGTATTTAATCACCACGGGGTGCTTTATTCTTTGCAAAACAAAAAAAAAGACCAAAAAAAATATTTTGTTTTAGTTTCTGTTATAAAATTTTGCAAATAGGTAAATTTTCTTCTTCACTGATGTGCGCTGATGAGGCTGCACTGATGGGCACGGATAGGTGGCACTGATAATCAGGGCACTGACTCAGCATGGGAGAAAAGAAACGCTAATAACCTGAAATCTGATCACATGGTAAAGGGCCCCTGTGATTGGCTCTTGATCCAGATCTGTTATCAGCTGTGAGCACCGCAGGATGGCATCTATGGACACCCTTCCAGAACTGGACGACCACACTGTAGATGTCTTTCAGCTATAGCATGGTCCGCAAGTGGTTAAAGGGGATTTAGGGTCACAGCATAAGCTTTCAGTTTATAACAATAGCATCGTAATAGCAATCCAAACAAAAGGTATTTTTTGACAATCCAATATAGGCTTACTTGGGGGGGAAAAAAAAAAAAAAAAAAAAAAAAAAAAAAAGAAGATGTGAGTTCTGCTTGTCTGCTGGTCATCGGTTTACAAATCTTCCTGGATTGCCTGAATGCTTTACAGCTTCTCCTCTGCTATATACATTTTATTTCTAAGGGCTCCATATCCCATGGTGCCTTGCTGCTTGCATGCAAAAATTCTTATAGGGACAGTCTTCCAAAACTCATCTCAGCACCTCTGTAGTTTAGAAGGCAGTCTCTGTGAAATGTGTGACGCAGCACTGCCTACTCACAGGGCATAGTGAATATGTGTCACTGAATTCAAGAAAATAAATTTGTGGGGATCTCCACAAAGTAATTTGAAAGCTTCAAGATCATTTAGAACAAAGACAGTAGGTTAGCAACCATTGAAATACAAAACATATGATTTTAAATCATAGCTATGCCTTATATCGTTGTTGTACCCTCAAATAAAAATATTAGCAATTTTAAATAACAGTGATGTACCTTCAAAATGTAAGCAGCATAACATAAATCGGGAAAATAATAATACATTTCCAGCACTGAATGCTTGTAATACAGGCAAATTCTATCAAAAGCCTAAAATAGAAGCACTAGAGAGACATCTGGTGGTAGATTAAGAGTATGGCTCCACAAAATGAAAAACGGCTGTCTAAAAAGGAAAAAGGTCTATGTACACCACTTCAGAATCTCACACATTTGTTTTGAATCCTGTCCTTGGAATATCAGATGAAGGTTCAGCCAGAGACACTTAACTGTGAGACATTTTGCACAAGACAACTATTTTTAGGGAAATTATAAAATGTTTTTTTTGTTTATTTTTTTAGTAAATCAGCACTGCAAGTTTGTGATGTTCCAGACAATCCATTCAGCATATACATAAACATAACAGTCCACTGCGTTGACATTACTTAACTCAGCACTGCAAAGCAAGCAATAAAGAAAGGATCATTCCCATGGAGACTGAGAATCCACAACCTGATATGATTATATTGTATGCCTTTATGACCAGGGCTCTCATTCCTCTTGTTATTTTATTGTACCGTCTCCCTTTTTATTGTAAAGCGCTGCGCAAACTGTTGGCGCTATACAAATCATGTATAATGATAAAGTCCATATGCAATAAATAAATTTCTATATGGGAAACTGTTAAAAAGTAGAATTCTAGTTAGATGGGATATAGCTTTTAAAGGGCTTAAACATACCAATTATGCTATTAAAACTGTCGTGAAATACAGTATAGGACACAGGCTTGATATTCATAGACCCTGGGTTATAGGCTGGTATGTTCAGGTGATTGGACACTGGCAAAGCTTATAAAAAAGGACATGCCCTCAGGCCAATCCCCATATAACCTTACCCCACTCTGCTAGTCCTCAGTTTTGTATCTAGCAATGCAGGGCAGCACAAAAACAGAGGGGAGGGTAGCCTGTGTCCTATTCTGTACTCCATGCTATGGAATTTACTGGCAAATCAAAAATACTTACAATTAGCAACCTTGGGACAACTGGAAAATGCTTAACTGACTATTACATGCTGGAACAGGTAGACTCTGCAACTCTATGCTCTATCCTCTCCTTACCCGCTGTTTGTTATTTACCATTTCTAAGCAACTGTTATATTACTAGTACATCACAAGCTAAATATTCTTGAGAATTTTACTATATATGTTTTCCAATTGGAGCAACAAGTCCTTGAGAAACAAAAATGTTCCACAGTTAACACTTAGTCCAAGAAATATGTACTACTTATAGCAATAATATTAAAAGTTTGTTACCGCATTTGAATACAATATGTTTTGTTGTATCAAAGCTATTTCAATAAAAACCTATTGAAAAAAAAAAAAAAAAACCCCATGTATAATTTTACAGTAGAGAACATAGGCTCGATATCAGCAGGCTTTGGGACATCCCCAAGCAATGAATAAGGCGGCGAGCAACAATAAGGCAACAGAACTGTGCTAGCTGAGGAAAAGGAAAAATAGAAAGCCCAACTTTCTGACAAAAGCTGTAGCTATGAGGTAGACTGATGCTCTGACCATATCCAAACAGCAAACAGTAATCTTGTTTGGGTACTGAACAACAGAAAGGACTCTGTCTTGATTGAAGTTGAAGACTGACACCACCTTAGGAAGCAAGGAGGGTCTTGGGTGTATAACGCTTTTAGCCTTATGAAGAATGAGGTTACAGGAATGGCTCCTTACAAGAGAAAAAGCTGCTAACAGAGAGGAATGCCTAACAGACATAGTAGCCACCAAGAAGGCTACCTTACAGGAGATATCCTCAGAGGGGAGTCCCCTGATGGGTTAAAAAAATGTTTTTGCATGGCAGAGAGAAGCAAACTGAGGTCACAAGGTAGCACAGGGAGCTGTAGAGGTAGACGGATCTGAGAAACACCTGGAATAAAGGTCTTTATAAAAAGGGAAAAGTGAAGCTAAAGGTTTTGGAAAAAAATGGACAAGGCTGAGACCTGTCCCTTAAGAGTACTGAGGCCAGAATTGAAGTGCCTATGTTCACATCAGGCAGAGATTGAATTGTCTGTTTTCACACTAGGCAAAGGATTTCTATATATGATAATAGATCCTTCTTGAAGTAGTTTTTCTTGCTTTTAGCAATGTAGGAATGACAGATTCAGAAAACTCTTTGTATTTAAAGACCTGTTAATGTCAGTGACAGTGAGGGATGGAATAGGTGGTCTTGGGAGAGCAGGTCTGACCTCTTAGGAAGCAACCAGGGGTTATCTCCTAGAAGTCTGAGTACCTCTATGTACCATGTTCTTCTGAGCCAGTTTGGAGCAATGAAAATCACTGTTTTCTTCTCTTGTCCCATCTTGCATAGTGGTACAGACAATATTCGAACTGGAGGAAATGCATAAATGCCTAAACTGAGTCCAGAGAAATATCAGAGCATTCAATGCCAGTGTTAGAGGATCCTTGGTCCCGGCCACAAAAAGAGCAAACTTGCTGCTGAACGCGAAGGCCATGATGTCCATGTCTAGAGTAACCCAACCTCTGACATATCAGGTTGAAGATATCAAGGGGAAGGGCCCATTCCCATTGGTCCAGGCAGTAACAACGGAGGCAATCTGCCTTCCAATTGTCCACACCTGGGATGTGGTCAGCAGAGATTGCTGGACATGGTTTCTTTATTCATGAGATGATCAGGCTTGTTTCCGTTAAAGTGGTTGTAAACTTCAGACATGAAATATGAACAAAGAATATCCATCTATAATGTGTGCTTGTCTCAATCCAAAGAACGAAGTGTAATTTCTCTCCACTGCCTCATTCCTCTTCTGAAAGCATGAGTCACTTGTGACAAATTTTCCTGACACCAACAGAAAAATGGTAACAGGAGACCGCACAGCCTGATGACCAACAGCCTCAGCTCAATTCCTGTGTGCTGTGTGAAGGATTGAGGGGGTGTCCTCAGTGATGTAACTTCAGCTCTCTGCCCCTGATTTTCAGAGCTAAGAGATCCTGTATAAATTCTGCACTTTGAATAGATAGGGACAGATGGCTGCAGCTAAATGGGTACAATTTATGCAGGAGGATTTATTTAATCTGTGTATCACCTGAGGCCCGTCACTTCACTCGGTATTTGTAAGGCTTTAAATCTGTAAGACTCTTGGTCCCCCCATCCTGCCCGGCATTGTGTGACTGCACCCTGATCCTGTGTCCCTGAAAAACGGGGGTCCAGTGGTTTAGAGCCATTTTTAATGCTCTGAGCTCCAAGATGTTGGTAGGGAGTTGGGTACTTGAAGGTACTTGTTTATGAATTTTAGGTCCAGAATAAGATGAATATCCCAGCTGGGATTTGGTACTGTGAAAGGTTTGAGAAGATTCCTTTGAACCTCCAGAGGTAGTGGAATAACCACTCCCTGAGAAAAGAGATTGTTTAGAGCATTCTGCAAATCTGATTGTCCTTAGAACTTTATTTTATGCCACCTTTGAAACCATCAAGTAAAACCATTGGTCTGGGATGTCAATGACTCAGAATGGAAAGCTATAAACAGATGTCCCTCCAATCTTAGGAGTGAGGGCACTCTTCATTATGAAGAAGTCTTTAATATTGCACCGAAAGGAAGGGCTAAATGAGGTACTTGTTTTGAGGAAGGGGATTTTGTAAACTTCTGCTATGGAAGAAGGTTCTTTCCTCCTTTGACATTTTTGATGAATTTGTCAAGTACCTCATCAAAGAGAGATCCCTCCTTCAAAAGAGAAACATGTGAGGCATCTTTACCAGGCAGCATCAGCTGACAAGGTTTTGAACCATGATATTCTGCACATATAGACAGAAATCAAAGCCATGCTTAAGATCTCTGTCATGACTAGTTCTAGGACATCCACACAAAAAGAGCAAAGTAGAGGGTAATTGCTATAATTGCTCGGCCAAGGTATGGTCCTGGAATGCAGTATCATGTCGGTTGGCCATCACCCTAGTCCAGGTTGCTGCAGTTTGATAAACAGTAACTGCAGCAATAGCCAGTTGTAGAGCTGGGCCTGTAAGTGTAAAGAGAGCCTTAAAGAGCGTCTCAAAATTTTGGTTAGCACAGTTTTTGACGGCCAGTTCACACTGGTGCATTTGAAGCTAGTTCACACTAATGCATTTGTGGCCACCGAAACACATACCTGCCATACTTTTTGCGCAATCCAGCATAATGATCATCCTACTGAAATCAATAGGCTAGCAGGAACACCCAAAAACTTGTGAGCTCGAATGCACCTATATGGCGTGAGCAAACCCTGAATAGAGAAACATCTTCTATAGGTACAGCAAGATGTTTATTTGCAAATGAGATTGCAAATGGACCACTTTTTATAAACTCGTTTTTTGTCAACAGGGAATGTCTTTTTAGATTTAGCAGGTCTCTTAAGTACCCAAGGGGGAATGAAAAAGAAGTGTGATAATGCAGAGACTTTTGCACACAGCCTATCAAGACTAGCAAGTATATTGCGTAATTGATATATAAGAAGCTGGGGGTGAGAAATCATCTTCGGTCTCCTCTAACACCTCCAGGTCCTTCATTCCCTTCTGTGTCTACTTCTTCTAGAGCGGGCATTTTGGGATCTAACTCAGATGGGGACAGAGGAGGTGGAGAAGGAGCCTGATGCTTTTTGAGCTCTGAACAGTGATGGCTGTTATTAATTGTTTCTATAATCTGGCAAACCTCAGATTGTATCTATCAGTTTTCCACTGCTACCCAATAAGCAAGCACAATATCATGCAGTATTCAAAGCAACTAGAATGCAGGCGCTAATTGTATATTTGTGTGTTTAGTACTTGGGAACAGACCCAAACTAGTTATGGGCATATTGAAAACATATTTATGGCTTCAGTAGTAGTACTACACAATGTTTATACAGCTCTATAAGGCTTTAACTGGGGCTGTTAATGTGTTTTGTAAACATTTGGTCAAAACCCTCCATTTTAGGCCTAATTTACACAGACTTATTGATCCCTATAACTGTGCAAAAGGCAGTCCTCAGCAGCCCAGGAGTTTGATACAGGGGCATTCAGAGAGCCTAATGAAATCAATAACAGGTGGTTGGCTGCAATGCGCCTCCATGCACATTCTGCAGTGCATGTCCGTGTGGGTCCGATGTATGGATCAGGGCGTAATCTGCATTCTCATAGATGCATTGGACCCACAGAGTTAACCACCTTTTATTGATTTCAACAGGCTTCCTACACAGAACACCTGTGCATCCTAGGTGACTGAAGATGGCACGTTGCACGGATTGGTATATCCATGTGAATAACGCCTTATATGAAGACATAAGAAAAGAGGTGCTGTCTAACCAAAACAAGTTGCACACAGGTTAATCTCACTTTTTGTTACCTTTCCCTTTCTAAACAACGCCTTGATATTTTCAGGTTGTTGCTCCAAGACCATATTACAAGACTTTAAGGCAGCCTCAAAGTGGTCAAGTTTAAGCTGGGAAGCAGCCAGGTTGTTCAGACACTTCATCTTGACATCTAGTAATTCAGATTCTTCTTCCGGTGTAAAGTCAACTAGTAATCAAAAAGAAGGGGACATTTTCAGATAGGATTAAGAAATTGTAGTAAACTTCATTTGTACAAAATGGTTCATTATGAGAACAATCATAGCGTTAATTTGGAGAAAAACATGGAAGTTAATCAAATTACAGAAAGTTGCAACAGACTGTGTGTTCTGACAACATACAATTATGTTAACCAACACTCTCATTTAAAGTGACAATGCTTAAAGGAACCACCACACTAGAGATATAATGTACCTGTAAGCACTGTTTTTCTCTGATGTCAACATTTAGGATAAGTATTAAAAACATTTTCCCTATGAAGTTTAAGTATATGTACAGAGGGAATTTTTACTTACCTTTAAACTCCATGTTTTGCAATATGGTACAAGACACAAGAAGAGTACTCATACACTATGGGATATAGACGTTTACCTTCAGCTGATTGGACCCTGGCAAAGCTTTTGAGGACAAGCCACCTGAGTGTATCCCCTATAACCCTACCCCACTGTTTTTTATCAAGCAATGCAGAGTAAACCAAGGAATAGAAGGGAAAGACGCCACAGGCGAGCCCCAGGAGGCAGTGAAATAGAGAAGGTCAAACAGAGGGGGGCATTGTCAGAAACAGAAAGAAGTATATGGGCCTCCTGTACATAACGGAGGTCTGCGGAAGAGGCATAAGAGGCAAATCTATATGGGACAGGGTTCTATAGGAAACTGAGTGACAGGTATACTCAGTACTAGTCAGGTGTCTCCAGACAATAGTTAAGACAAAGGTTGTGGCCCATTGTCTTTCCAAATATGGGTAAGGGACGATAGTAAAATCTTCCAAGAGCATACCATCACCAGTATCATAGTGAACTAGAATTTGCATCATTGTATATAGCACTTGAGAATTAGCTGAAGGAGATAGATAACGACCTACAATTATCATGGTTCTGTTATAAAAACGAGCAAGTATCACAACATATCTACCCTCTGGGTCAGTTTGCACATCAATAGTTTGAAACGGTAAGGACTTGCATATTACAACACTAACTCTATGGGCATAGCTGGAGTTAGTAGCATGGTAAGGGGATCCCACCCAAGGTTTACGCAGGCTAATAGTCTTAGAGCCCAGCAGGTGAGTTTCTTGCAAAATACTAATATGAGGACTACATTTCTGCAGGAAACAAAAGACTAAATACCTTGTAACAGCTGAATTAAAGGATAATTTCACCTTTAAAATAACAAAATAAACATCTATTTGCAGGTAAAAAAAAAAAAAGAAAAAAAAGTGCATTATTTTTTTTTTGTATTGGGAGCCTATAAAAGCATAGCACCAGCGATCAGCAGATCACAGGTGCAATGCATGGTTCCTGCATACTGTCAGTGTAGGCTGTCTGCTAGTACCTCGTATGTACAGGCAGTTACACACAAACACAGGAAGAATTAACTAGAGCCGCCTGGCAGGTAGCAATAGCCGTCATGACATCCTGCAAGCCAGGTTGCGGTGAATCAGCAGGCTCCTCCACCTCTGTTTGAGATGCCATAGTGGAGACAGACCTAGAGCGCATGTGGTCTCTTGGGGCCCGGAGAAACCACCTCAACCAGCAGCAAAAACATTTCTTTCCTACCTCAGGCTTCAAGAGAGTCAGTAAGGCATCAGTGTAGCAAGGGACCACGGCCTGAGAACATAGGCACACAGGAGCCAAAGAAAAAAATCATTTCAGGCAGCAGAGCTCCATTCACAAGAAGCTGCTCAGGTCGCCAAGTTAGAGAAATATTCTAATGGCTCCGACTACGTCCAGGCAATGTAGAGAAACTCCCTTTGGATGCTTATGAGCAGAGCATAAATATGGTAGGACAATGTCCTCAATGAGGTGTATTACTGAAGCCACCTTTGGGAGAAAGGATGGCTTTGAAAGTAAGATAACCCTGTCATTGTGAAGTATGAGGAAAAGGGTCACCAGCTCAGAAAATACTTCTGACAGATGTGATGGTGACCAAAAAGGCTACTCTGTAGGAGTGAGTATCTAGGGGAATATTCCTAACTGGTTACATACAGCTTAAAGAAAAGGTTCTTACAAGGGAGAGTGAAACCAGATGCCTTTGAAAAAGAATGGATAAGGCTAAGATGTATCATTTGAGAATACTTAAGAACAAATTCTTGTCAAGACCTGTTTGTAGGAAGGCCAGATTGTGAGGCACAGAGTAATCTCTTGGATTAAAGAGTGGGATGTGGATCACATAGATCACTTGGATAGCGAGTTTCTGTCCATGAGATGATCTTCTTTCAAAGCACCTGTTCTTGTATCAGAAACACAGTGAGGAATTAACTGAAGGGTTGATTGAACAATCGGTGAAATAATAAATTAGTTAAAAGGATAAATTCACCTTCAAGAACATGTTACACGTTCCACCCGTTCCCCATACCAGCTGTCACTTTATGAAAAGAGCACAGCCGCGTTCTGTGAATGAATCAACCAGGGGCATAGATAAGGGGACGGGGGGTTCAAGGGGGTCTGAAACCCCTCAACCCCAGAGGAAAGTTTCCAACCACCCCCTGCAGCCCTTGAAATTTCCACTCGCCCGTGAGTGGAAATAAGGTGGGGGCGGCGAGCAGTGCTGGGACTAGGGGTGTGTGGGAGGGGCAGTGACAAGCAGCAATCTCTTGTATGGCTTTCAATAAAGCAGATGTAAGCTGCGGGAGGGAGAGGAGGAGAATCGGCTTCCAGCTGCTTTATTGAAAGCCATACAGGAGATCGGTGATTGTCACCGCCAACATGGCTGCACAGAACATACCTGACGGTTCAGTTTTCATTCTGCCTCCCCCCCCCCCCCCCCCATTCTTCTCACTGCCTAGACCCTCCTTCCATCCTTCGCACCAATAGGATAAGAGGGGAGAGAGGCTGGATCTGTTCTGCCTTCCCCTGTTCCCGCCCACACTCCAGTCCGTACAGCTTCAGAGGATGTGTGGGCGGGAAGCTGAACACAGCAGCAGAAGATGTACATTTTGTTTTGTTTGCTCTGTGCAAAACTTTTCCATATTCACCTTCCTGTAAAAGCTAGTTATGAATTGGGGCGGTTGCCATTTTTGTTTAATTTTTTTCCTATTCCAAATTTGCTCTTGACTGTGGCCTGTTCATTCCATAACATTTATTAAAGTGGTTCTAAAGGTTCAAGGTTTTTTCTTTATGTATTCTATGCATGAAGGTAAAAAAACCTTCTGTGTGCAGCGTCCACCCCAGCCCTTCCCCAATCCTTACCCCCTCTGATCCAGCGACATTCCTGACAGTCTGTTGTCTCAGGACTCTTCCTCCTCATTGGCTGAGACAGCATTGGGAGGCAATTTGTTCCTGCTGCTGTCAATCACAGCCAGTGAGCCAATGAGGTGAGAGTGGGGCCGAGACGCATCTATGTGTGTCTTATGGACGCATAGAGCAGTGGTTCAGGGACAAGCACACAGTAGTGTGTCCCTAGGGCAAGCAACTTTCCCTGGGGGCACTGCTTGAAGGGGGAGGAGGAAGGAGTGCTGGTGGGGACCCAAAAAGAAGAGTATTGGGGCTGATCTGTGCAAAATAACTGCACAGAGCAGGTAAGTACAGCCATGTTTATTATATTAAAAAAAAAAGCACTAAAAAACTTTGCCTGACCTAAAGTGACACTATTCTTGTATAGTTGTATCCAGGGCCCGTTACAGAGAAACATCTTCATATCCGTACCTGAGCCCCTCCAATCCAGCGACGTTCATGAAAGCCTCTGTTGTCTGGGGACTCTTCCTCCTCATTGGCTGAGACAGCAGCAGGAGCCCATTGGTTCCCGCTGCTGTCAATCACAGCCAGTGAGCCAATGACATGAGAGTGGGGCAGAGACGCATCTCGGATGCATAGAGCAGCGGCTTGGGGGAGAGCAACTTTCCCTGGGGGCACTGCTTGAGGGGGGAGGAGCCAGGAGGGCTGGCAGGGACCCAAAAAGAGGATCGGGCTGCTCTGTGCACTGCGCAGAGCAGGTAAGTATAGCCATGTCTGTTATTAAAAAAAAAAAAAAAAAAAAAACACAACACGAAGCTCTAGTGTCACTAAGTCAGTCATTCCTGTATAGTTGTATCCAGGGCCTGTTGCAGAGAAACATCTTCATATCACAATGCTTTACGGTGAGGATGTGTTTATAATGATATGCAAGGACGGGCGTAAACTAAAGTATTTAGTGAAAAGTAACCCCGAATGAAGCTTTAAGAGTAACCAGTATATTTATTGATCAGTGTAAAAAAAATTAAACACACTGCATTTTAATGTTTTTGACAAGAAATCATGAACACTACCATGGAATAAATACCTTTGAAAAGCATTGTGAACATTAAAAATATTGTTGTTTCTGGGAAATGTTAAACGTTAGAACTACTTGATTTCAGAGGAATTACAATGAGCACTCTGCCATTAAAGAGAACCAGTCAAAAGTATGCACTTTTAATAATGTGCATCTCCACTTTTAAACAATGCTATGCTCAAAACGGATATCCTTCTTGGACTGCTATTGAAGGATAAACCTGATGGCTCACATGGCTTTATGGCTTTGCTTTAGCTCTGAGAGCATCTTTGGTTATTTGATGCTTTCATACATGTCACTTTCTTCTAAACTGAAGCAGCAGATAGCCAGACATGTACCACACTTAGCTGCACACAACTGCTAACACAGGAAGAGAACACCTGGTGAGTAGTAATCCCAGAAAGATATAAGGCTGTACTATTATCAATGCCCAAGAGTGAGGATTCAGATTGATGCAAACTCCCACCGGTGATCATTTAAGTTTAAATGTATTTTTACGAAGCTTTTTAAATATTAGATATATGTGTTATCCATAAAGACCAAGGGGTATTGTCCCCTTCCAGCAGGCCTCCGACAACACTTGCAAAGTCATTCATCTTATTCAATTTGCTGCAACAAAACAGAACCCCTGGTATGATTCTAGGCCTGGATATACATAAGGCATTTGAAACTCTCTCCTGGAAGTATATGCACTGTGTTCTGGACATATGGGGATTCCCGCCACCCATCTTTACATCTTGACTGAAGGTTCTATACCACAGACCTTCAGCGAACTGTGGAAATCTCTCCCGTCAATCTTTCCCTTTCCTAATCCACAGGGGAACAAGCCAGGGGTACCCCCTTTTTCCTATACTTTTAATTTTGGCCTTAGAGCCCCTCTTACACCTTATCAACAGTCTTTGAAGGTTAGTGCATTCACGGATGACTTGCTACTAACCTTGACTCAGCCACACACTACCTACCTTTTTTCTATTCTTAGCTGTTTTTTCAATATCTCTGGCCTAGTAGTAAAGGACAAATCAATGGACCTTAATGTCTCTCTCCCTGAGGCAGAAATTAATTTATTAAAACAAAACTATCATTTCACTTGGCCTGCTAGCCACTTGGAATATCTGGGATTAATCCCACTAAATCCTATCACACCATCTATGAGGCCAATTATATCCCAAATTTCCATTCTCTTAAAACCTAGCTCAAGTCCTGGTCTCATCAACCCCTCTCATGGATTGCCAGTATTTACGCACTGAAGATGACTGTTCTTCCAAAGCTCATATACCTATTCTACACTCTCCCTGTTGCAGTTCCTTTCTTCTGTCTTAAAGTAATTTCAAAATCAGGTTCTATGCTTTATTTGGGCCAACAAAAACCCCAGGTTGCCAAATACACCATGCTCATACACCAGAAACAGGGGGGTTTAAATGTTCTCAACGTCTCCAAGTACTGTGGTGGCTCAAATTGCACCCTAGACCTCCCTTTATGCAGCGCAGCATGCTCCCATATGGGTCTCTTACGAAGCACTTTCTTGTTCCCCGGTCTCCCCTTGTTCACTTTTATGGCTTCCCCAAAAATCTAGGCCCACGACTTTCAGCCCTCTAATGGCCCACTCGTTACACATATGGGACTCTACCAAATGCTCAAGTGGTCTAATCTCCCCTCATCTACCACTTCTTCCCCTCTTGGGCAATCTTTTATTTCCTCCTGGCTTCAAGTCCCCCAGCACCTTTCATTGGTGGGTTTCCCACAAACTTCAATGGGTCCACTCACCGGTCGTTCGGTTTACATCTGGGCAGAAATAAAGGACAAATACCAAGCTCCCCATACCGAGCTTTTCTGATTGTTACAAATTAAACACTGGGTGACTTTGGTGCTCACTGACAAAGACCTGACAACCTGATTGCCTCTATTTGAACATATTTGCCATCGGACCCCCTTTTTTGCTAAACTTTTTTCCATCCTCTACTCGCAGTTGACTAACCTCCGGGACCCCAAGCAACCACATTTGCGTTTCCAGGTGGGAAAAGGACCTTAAAAGCTCCAAAGATATGGGCTCCTGGGCACCGATCTGGACAACCCTGGTTTCCATGGCTGCGCTATTCCAAGAGACGTCCTACACATATGGTGGACATGCTAGGGCATGCTCTCTCGGTTCTGGTCAAAGGTCCTTAAACTCCTGCAATCATTATTAGCTCACCCCTTCCCAAGGAACCCGTGGCATATTCTTCTACAGCTGAAGCCCTCAGGCCTCACAAAACATCAGTTTAAGCTGGCTACTTATGTACTATTGGCAGCTAAACAAACTATAGCAGAAGCCTGGAAACAGCAATTCATATCCTTCATGGAAGTCCATAGCGGTCTAGATTTTGTTTCCTGGTTATTGAAAAACTCTCTAGCATTCTTTCTGATACCCAGGGCCATGGATAAGGGGGTACTACCAGTCCTCCTGTACGGGGCCCAGGCCATCGGGGGGCCCAGGCAGCTGGGTGAATTCCATGTGGGCAGAGAGGGTGATCGAAACGGTGGGGGCGGGGGGCAATTACTGGAACCAATCCCCTGTATGGCTCTCTATGCAGCAGCTGAAAGGTTTCTTCTTTTCCTCTCCCCCCCACTGGCTTTCAGCTGATGCAGAGAGAGCCATACAGGGGATCAGTTCAAGTAATTGCCCCCCACCACACCCATCTCCATCCCTGTGCACCATGCATTTCCCCCTGCTGCACAGGCTCCCCCCCACCACTGCAGTGCTTCCGGCTTTCCTCCTCTCCTTCCCACCAACAGCTGCAAGCACACAATAGGATCCTTCAGGATGGAGAATGCCATATGTGGCAGTGTCACATTTACCAGCCCCCTTCTTTTCCTGAATGAACACAAATGAGTGATCAGTAGCACTCACTGTATTCATTCATTGCTGAAGCATAATAAAGTTTTTTTTTTGGGGGGGGGGGGGGGGGGGGGGGGCCCTGTCAGGTCGGCTATATGGGGCCTCGTTGTTTCTAAGAGCAGCCCTGAAGATACCCACGAAAGATTCCTCAAAATATGGACTCCATGGATTCAATATGCCCATCCTGCTATGCCAATAGGCAGTTTTACTTCGCTATAACCTCAGAAGGCTCATGGCCCAGGTTTAAGCGATTTCGATGTTCTCATTTCGACTCTTGCCTCCCCCCTCTTTTTTTTGGCTCTTCTGCAGGAATCAATTACGAAGTATTCTATATATTTTCTGGTTTGACTATACACTTTGTGCATTCATAATGCCACTATTTCTTTTGTTATTGCCGGAAGTTAGGCAACAGGCAATTTGCTCTTTATGCTGATATTATTGACACGATAAGGCTGATATTACGCTTTGAATACTGGTTATATCGCTACCAATCAGATATGTTTTTTCTATGCACAACTGCTTTTGCATTGTTGCCTACTATGGTTATACCCAACTTGTACACAAGACAGCAGTTGCGTTTGTACTCTCTAAACTCGAAAAATCCTCAAAAATTTATTGAAAGGAAATATATTAAGCATGATGTAAATATATCAGACAACTGTAATATTTGACAGGACTTCGTGTTGCTGCATAGGCAGGTCTGAATCAGGTGTTCATTTATTTGAAAATACCAAATAAAAGGATTCATTTTTGGTACTTCGGAATACATGACCAAATGATCCATGAAATCCAATGCTGTTCAGTGGCACACCATTAAAATATAAACATTTCCAAGGGGGCGACAGTGACTATAAGTTATGGAGCTGTTGGATCAGCAACACAGTTTTTTCAGAAGGAGGAGTCGACAACTGTAGACCTTGTATTCCTATCGGTGCTCTTAAAGTCTTTTTTTTTTTTTTTTTTTTTTTTTTTAAAACAAAAACTTACCTGCTATGTGCCAGACTTTCAACCAGGGTGCCACCAGAGGTCCTCATGGATGCTGTGCCCCAGCTGCACCATACATCAGCACTGGGAGCCATTACAGACCGGCTGTGTGAGGAAAGGGGCTGTATACATGCGTGTGTCTACGTGCGTCTGTGTGTCTAAAGCTGCACCAATAAGTTTTTTTTATCTTAATATAGAAAATATAGTATTAAGTTACAAAAAGCCTTTACAACCACTTTAATGTTTTCTTTAAGAAGTTTAAAATGATCAAATAATATATTTAATACTGTATGCTATGGAAAAAGGCTAACAATTTACACTCAACTGCACAATGTATTGTTTGTATTAGACCAATGCTTTGCTAAAAGCCCTTCCACTCTCCAAATTTTAGTTTATACTAAATGAAGAGTATTTTTTAAGCTTCTGAATTTTACATAGCACCAAACATACTTTTGCAATCAATTGGGGGGGAAGAAAAGAAAAAAAAAAAAAATAATATCACACACACACACACACACACGCACACACACACACACACACCTATGTGAGGTTGTAAATAATTAATGTGCACTAAAAATAGACCAAGCAGCATTTTCTATGTTTTGCTCTGTTAAACAAATGGTAACCATTAAGGATTATTACTGGTATGAGCACGTCGTCACATGAAATTCATTTGTACACACCTTTAGAGCTGGAATTTACAATCTTCAGGGCAATGTCATAAGAATTTATTGCAAATACATACATAATCTGATTGCTGATAGTAGAAGTTTCCACGTTCCCTCTTCTTGTTGGCCAAATCCAACTTCTGCTGTCCAGTAAGTAGCTCAAGATCTGGCCCATCCTTCACTTCAAGAAGGGACACCTCAAGAACAAGGGTGGCATCAGGTGGAATATCTGGATTCCTTTAACAGAATTCAAATGGAATAATAAATGTGTATACAATAAAAGTAGTATTCCTTAAAGGTGGTGCTGAAGAGTTACATGAACTTGGTTTAATGCACGGGGATTGACTAAGGCCATAGCAAAGAAATATTAAATAGTTTCCCATAGCAACAAGATCCATACACATACAAGCACATAGCATATTTGTATACAGTGCTGTGTTCGGGTAGTAGGATGCAGCAGACGTCACAATTTCTGACTCAGCCAGAGGACGCTCTGTATTCATTCACAGAATGGCTGTTTTGTTCCAGTAGTGAGATGGGAAGTTCCCATCTCACTGCCAGAACACAGAGCTGTATACTGTATGTAGCTGAAACTACATACAGCTAAAATAGTGAGCGCAGCAGACACACTTGTTAGTGCAGTAATTTGTTCAGTAATTTGTTCGTTTGGACCAGCTTGGCCCAAAGAAAACTTTTTAAAAAGGGATATTAGGCTCCATGTATTTTTGTAGAGTTTTTCCAGAAGAAAAAAAAAAAAAAAAAAAAAAAAAAAAAAACAAAACTAAACGCTACTAAAAAGCTCCTCATAGTGTTTTATTAGCATTTTTACAGTACATGTAAAAAAAAAAAAAAGCTGGAAAAAAAGCTAACGCTCCTAAATGCTTTTAAAACACTACCAAAAAAATGTTATTACCAGCGGTTTTTATAAAGTGTTTTTTGAGCTTAAAAAAAAAAAAAAAAAAAAAAAAAAAACCAACACGTTAGCGTGCATGGAGCCTCAAAATGTTGAAAAGCACTTGAATTTTCCCAGTGAATGTTAATGAACATAAGATGAAACCCTACTGGTGGTATGAAAATAAAAGTAAAAATAAAATAAATTATTTTCATCAGCCAAGTTCCCATTTGCAAAACCTATATTGGTTTTATTTCAACTACTATGTTATTAAATATAAACCAATATGTTCCAAGCTTCAAATTGGAACTGGGCTCATTTAATACTGGTAAATTTACAACATATAAGGAAACACCCAATACTGATATAGCAACCACAGGTATTTTTTTCAATACACTATTTTTTTCTAGCTTTTATAACCTTGGTTAGAATTCACAGCTAGTAATAAATAGGTCTGAAGATTCCTTGAAGCAGGTGTATAAAAAATATACACTAAAATCAGAAAAACATTATGACCACCCACCTATTATTGAGCAGGTCTCCTTTTTGCCAACAGAACAGCCCTGATCAGCCAAGATATGGACTGTACTAGACCTCTGAAGGCTTGCTGTGGTAACTGGCACCAAGCCATCAGTAGCAGATCCTTTAAGCCTCTGCCGGCTTGCATTCTTCCCATAGTGCATCTTGGCACCTTCTCTTTTCTAGGTATGCAATGCACACACCCCCGGCCATCCACATTATGTAAAAGAAAATGGGATTCATCAGACCAGGCCACCTCCTTTCACTGATTAGTGGTCAAGTTCTGATGCTCATGTAGGCACTTTCTGATGTGACAAGGGTCAACATGGTACCCTGACTGATCTATGGCTACGCAACAGACTGTTTTATTCCAAGAGTGAGACAGGAAGTTCCCATCTCACTGCTAGAAGACAGCACTGCAAATGGCAGCGCATTGTGTGTTCTGACACCTTTCTATGGGCACCAGCATTATCTTTTTCAGAAATATGAGCAACAGTAGCTCTTCTATTGGATCAGACTACATAGGCTAGCGTTGGTTAGGCAGCTCATGACTGTCACCAGTTTTTCTTCCTTGGACCACTTATGTAGCTCCTGACCACTGCAGACTGGGAACATTCCACAAAAGCTGCAGTTATGCCATTGCTCTGACCCAGTCATCTAGCCATTACAATTTGGCTCTTGTCAAAGTCACTCAAACCCTTAAACTTTTTTCAGAATTCGATGAATAGAAAACAGAAAAAATTGGCAACATGATCACATGCTAGTATATCTCATCACCCACTTTTTGTTATGTCTTATTTGAACAAACAAAACATTCTAATTGTTGGTATAATCCTCAGTGGAGAAACCGTTTGTATTGTGTACTATTGAAATGTTCAAAAAGTTGAAAACTAAAATACTGGGCACAGTGAATGCCCCATTGAATGATCTTTCATGAATGGTTGTTCAAAACATATAAAACGGGTTTGGCCAGTTTTACTTATATCAAAGAGCAACTGTAGGCAAAAAAAAGTAAAACATTGCTAACAGACAGGCTTTTTTTTTATTGCAGATGAGGCATTCAATGTCTGCCATCAGGAGATTTCATTGAAAATACTAGATGTTTGTTGTATGTATGTATGTATGTATGTATGTTTCCACTGCAGCCCTGAAACATGCATACTGAAAAGGAGCGTCAGAACTTCTCATCTCTATATTTGTTCTAGGTCTGTGACTAAGATAAGCATCAGATTGACAGCCAGAGAACTCAATTCTCAAAAGGAAAGTTTAGCCATGGCAGCTTCCTTTAATCTCTCATGACAGCATCTTTAAAAACCTAATATAGCAGATAAAGGTTCCAAAAAAGATGCTTTGAATTTGGCAAAAAGTGCTTTGTTGACATCTTCGTGCCAAGCATACATATAAATATGCCTTCTTCCAGAGGGCCGTGTAAATATGCGTTTGTGCTGAGAGCATGCTGCACAGCACATTCCCAGCACAAAGAGTTCTGGGTTTCATACGAATGATAGAGAACCAGGAGGTTCAGTTCCAGATCACCTGATCACTGTGATGGCCTCTGATTGGCCATCACAGTGATCAGTCACTGGATGTTCCCACGCCTGTTTTTTTTCTCCTCTAGAATGGAGAAGAAAATACATTGCTTCTTTTTAATCATGTAAACATAAAAAAGGGCGTGTAAAAAAACAAAAACAAAATAGATTTAAAAAAAAAAAAAAAAAAAAAAAAAAAACAACAACTAGATCAGCGTTTGATCTAGGTCAATGTCACGGTTAGAGCAAGGGTCAAGTGTCATGGTCAGGGTCAGTGTCATTTAGGTAGGACTAAAAAAAAAAAAAAAATAATAATATTATGTATGCTATTTTTCCACATGGGTACAAACAACAAATACAAAATTAGTGACATTACTACAATCATGAGAAGAATTTGTGTTTTTCTTTGGTGATGGTAAGTTATGGTAATAGCAAGAAATATACAGGCATATAAAAAAAAAAAAAAAAAAAAAAAAAAAAAAAAAAAAAAAAACACACAACACATTATAATTGACCATCAAATGAAATCTCAAATTTGTCCTGAAAACATACTATTTTGCTCTGGGACTTTGAATGAGGTGCAACATACTGAGCCAATGGATACATAATATATAAATGTATTGGTGGGTAAATACAATTCTCATAAAATAGCATAACAGAGATGCAATACACTCAGGCCGATTTGTAGCAATTTCATGATACAAGTGTTATAAATGGAGTTTCAGTTCAGTGAGTGAAAAAAGTATTTGATCCACAAGCAAAACATGACTTCGTACTTGGTGTAGAAACACTTGTTGGCAAGCACAGAGGTAAGACATTTCTTGTAGTTGGTTACCAGGTTTGCACATATCTCAGGAGGGATTTTGGTCCACTCTTCTTTATAGATTGTCTCTAAATCCTTAAGATTTCTTGGCTGTCGCTTGGCAAAAATTTGGCATAAATTTTCTAATGGATTAACATCTAGAGACTGGCTAGGCCACTTCATAACCTTAATGTGCTTGTTCAGTGTTCTGGCTGAGAGAAGAAAGTTCTCATCCAAGATTTTACAATGCATGGCCCTGCCCATTGGCAACTCGATGCAGCAAAGTTGGCCTGTACTTTTAGCATGGAAACAGCCCCAAAGCATAACGTTTCCAGCTCCTTGCTTTACTGTAGGGATGGTGATCTTAGGGTCAGTCAGCATTTTTCTTTCTCCAAACACGGCGAGTCAAGTTAATGCCAAAGAGTTCAATTTTGGTCTCATCTGACCACAGCACTTTCTCCCAATCCTACTCTGAATCATTTACATGTTCATTGGCAAACTTCAGATGGGCCTGTACATGTAGCTGTGGTCTCAACTGCCTTGAGATCATTCACAAGCTCCTCCCTTGTAGTTCTGGGCTGATCCCTCACGATCATCCTTACTCCATGAGGTGAAATCATGCATGGAGCTCCAGACTGAGAGCAATTGATGGTTATTTTGTATTTCATCCATTTTCGAATAATCGCTCCAACAGCAGTCTCCATCTGACCAAGCTTAAGTGAATCCAAAAGGTACCTGCCCCTCAGAACTGTGGCTTCATAAGCCATGCTGTTAAATAAAGCGAAGAAGCAGGATGGAAAAACAGACCCTTAGACGATTAGGCCCAGACAATCTAGAAGAGTCCACAGGGCATCTGCCAGGAATGTGCCCAATATGCCCAAGTACCTCTTCCTCCTAGACCGGTTTGGTGCAATGATAAAAGTAGTTGAAAAAGAATCTGGGTGGGCAGAAATACATAGATCAGGCTGAAACAATCCCTTGTCTACACCAGAGTGTCCACTGCAAAGGCCCAAGGGTCCCTGGACTTGGCAACAAACATGTCTAGTTTAATGTTGTACTAGACACCAAGAGATCCACATCTGGCATTCCCCACCTATAGCAAAAGGCTGGAAAATCCCATTCCCTTGGATCCAGGTGCTCATGACTAAGATAGTCTGCCTGCTTATCTTCCACACCTAGGCGATGTGGACTGGGGAAAGGGATGGGACATACAGTTCTGGCCAAGACAGGATCTGCTTCTCTTAGAATGGCACAATTTTTGGAGCCTGGAATACAGGACGGCCAGTGAAACGGGCTGCGGGGGACACACCACCAGACCAAGGACAGGTAAGTGGTTGTTTTTTTAAAAGTCAGCAGCGACAGTTTTTGTAGCTGCGGACTTATTTATTTTTTGATAGGTCAAGTGGAAGGACTGCTCCCTAGCCTGACAGTCT